ATATCTTTTTACTATCTTAAAATAGAAAAGAGGAAAATTTTAAATTGGGTGAGACACTTAAAATGATTCTGGAACAATTCATTTTTAAATCCACTGTATATCGAAAACGGCAAGTGCAAAGTATACTTAACAATATATTTTTGAAATTAGCTAAAATATGTCTACCGGACCATGCTAAAATATGATAGGGTTTCCATTTAAAAAAAATCAAAATGGCGTCGTATCTGTCAAAATTGACGTTTTAAAAAATTTTAATGTAGAAAATCTGCATCCTCGCGAAAAATTACATTGAAATATCTTTTTATTATCTTGAAATAGAGAAGAGGAAAATTTTAAATTGGGTGAGACACTTTAAATGATTCTGGAACAATTCATATTTAAATCCACTGTATATCGAAAACCGTAAGTGCAAAGTATACTAAACTATATATTTTTGAAATTAGCTAAAATATGTCTACCGGACCATGCTAAAATATGATAGGGTTTACATTTAAAAAAAATCAAGATGGCGTCGTATCTGTCAAAATTGACGTTTTAAAAAATTTTAATGTAGAAAATAAATGTAATGTCGCGGACGGCATCCTCGCGAAAAATTACATTGAAATATCTTTTTACTATCTTAAAATAGAGAAGAGGAAAATTTTAAATTGGGTGAGACACTTAAAATGATTCTGGAACAATTCATATTTAAATCCACTGTATATCGAAAACGGTAAGAGCAAAGTATACTAAACTATATATTTTTGAAATTAACTAAAATATGTCTACCGGACCAAGTTAAAATGTGATGGGGTTTCCATTTAAAAATAAATCAAAATGGCGTCGTATCTGTCAAAATTGACGTTTTAAAAAATTTTAATGTAGAAAATCGGCATCCTCGCGAAAAATTACATTGAAATATCTTTTTACTATCTTAAAATAGAGAAGAGGAAAATTTTAAATTGGGTGAGACACTTAAAATGATTCTGGAACAATTCATATTTAAATCCACTGTATATCGAAAACGGTAAGAGCAAAGTATACTAAACTATATATTTTTGAAATTAACTAAAATATGTCTACCGGACCAAGTTAAAATATGATGGGGTTTCCATTTAAAAAAAATCAAAATGGCGTCGTATCTGTCAAAATTGACGTTTTAAAAAATTTTAATGTAGAAAATCGGCATCCTCGCGAAAAATTACATTGAAATATCTTTTTACTATCTTAAAATAGAGAAGAGGAAAATTTTAAATTGGGTGAGACACTTAAAATGATTCTGGAACAATTCATATTTAAATCCACTGTATATCGAAAACGGTAAGAGCAAAGTATACTAAACTATATATATTTGAAATTAGCTAAAATATGTCTACCGGACCATGCTAAAATATGATAGGGTTTCCATTTAAAAAAAAATCAAGATGGCGTCGTATCTGTCAAAATTGACGTTTTAAAAAATTTTAATGCAGAAAATCGGCATCCTCGCGAAAAATTACATTGAAATATCTTTTTACTATCTTAAAATAGAGAAGAAGAAAATTTTAAATTGGTTGAGACACTTAAAATGATTCTGGAACAATTCATTTTTAAATCCACTGTATATCCAAAACGGTAAGTGCAAAGTTTAGTATACTATATATTTTAGAAATTAGCTAAAATATGTCTACCAGACCATGCTAAAATATGTGGGGGTTTCCATTTAAAAAAAATCAAGATGGCGTCGTATCTGTCAAAATTGACGTTTTAAAAAATTTTGGTGTAGAGATCGGCATCCTCGTGAAAAATTACATTAGGAAATCTTTCTATTATCTTTAAATACCAAACAGGAAAATTATAAATCGAGTGAGACACTTAAAATGATGTCCCTGTACACACCGATTTTACGTTTCTAGTTTCTACCCATCTAAAATAGGTTAAATCGCCTTTAACGCCGAAACGGCACCATTAAATGAAATAAGGTGGCCGTTTTCCGTATTGTCAACTTCAAAAATTTGTAAATCGATACCAACATCGATAATGTAAGATTTGCTGACCTGGATATTAATTATTTGAATCTTTCAATTGGCGTGATTTTCCTTATTCAATGTTAATTAGATCTGATCAATATTGTTGTGCTGAATATAATCAGATTAAATAAATTAAAAAACCAGAGTCGGACTTCAAATTATTTTAAATAACAGTTAAATACTTTTGTTACTGTAAAGGTACCCAAAACAAAAAAAAGTATCAAGTGTGGCATATCATTGTACTCAGGAGACCGAGTTCTTTCAAAACCTGAAATAAAAATTGCAGGTCCGTATTTAAAAAAATTATGTTGGCCTCTGTATCTCACAAATTATCAGCTAATTTGAAAATCTAAAAATACCATTAGATAGCTCTAATAAAATGGCTATGAGAACGCGCAAGTAGTTTTTTAATTTTCTGAAAAGTAACGACAGGAAAAAATAAAATTGATTTTCAAAAAAATCCGTTTTTTTTTCAAAAAACTCACAGAATACCACTTCTTAAGTAATTACATAAAGAGTTGGCCGGAACGCGAAAAAGTTCATTCCTCCGCATGTATTTCTTCACGTAAAAGGCTAATGTGATGCTTTTTTGCAACTTTTATTGTACGGTTTATTATTCAGAACGATCGTGTGACGAAAATGTCAATGTCACTTTAATGCGTTTATCAGTAAAATTGGTAAATATTACCATGCTTCCTCTTTCGATTTCTGTCATACTACTGGACCGAATTTAACGAATTGAAAGTCATTATACGCAGAATTTAATGGTCTTTAATTTTTGTAATAGTGTAATATTGTCTAGAACGCAACGTTTCGCAATTATATACGAAAATCTGAAAAAAGTCGAAGAATTTTACCATCTTTTGATCCTCCTGAGTCGAGCGGCAGTCGAGCAATTGTTCAAAACTAGGATACTTATCTTTCATGTCAACTGAACAAAGCAAAACCATAATTAGCTTTCCAACACTTTTTTCCAAGTGGCCTAAATATGGATATTAATAGTTAAGCTTTTTTGACATACTATATACTATCCATTTGTTAAATAATAAATAACAATTAGATATATCATTATTAGTTTACTAGCTTTTCCTCGGAACCTCATTTGCGTTACACCTCGAATCTTTTTACGTTAACAAAACAATCTGAAAATGTATAAACCGCTGTTTATTTTTTCATACCCTTTATATGACTTTATCAAACTTTACATATCAAAAGTATAAATTTTGATAATATTCTTGAATAAACGCTCTGAAATAAACTCTAAAATACAAAATCTTAATAGTTCTGATAAATTATAAAAATGAAATTGATCTTCTTTGCAGATCAATTTTCGCCTCAAAAATATTTTGTAATTTTAAAATTAATAATGTCTTTTAAAATTCATAAAATTCATAATCTGTCGGTCACGAAGTTTTATATAAAATTTTACTAACTTTACCTATGTAGGGGACAAATTGCGAAAATCTCTTCTTGAAAAAGAGTTCACTCAAGGATCGTTTTGTGCAAAGTTTCACACTTCTAGACCAGATAGCAAGGAATTTTCATTCAACAAACTTTTCAATACAATTTTACAGCCTGAGGAGGAATTTCCTAAAATCGCTTTGTCCAGCTAATAAACTAATTACATCATTTATAATTTATATGTGTAAACTGACCGCTAATACAAATAAAAACTAACAAAAGTTCAAACTTGGTCCAAACTACAAGTTATCCAGCTGACACATCAGTGACAATGACAAATAATCTCTCAAGGTATTGTGCAATTGTGTGTAGGTGTTCATCAGGTATTTTTTTAACATTTATTCGTTTTATATAAAGAAATGGCGATTAAACAATACCAAAATGTTTTATAACAAATCTAGATATTTATACCTTTTATTTAAAAAAAGAATCATCAAAATTGGTGAAGCGGTCGGCGGGATGGATGTAACAAAGAAACCCTTTGAGCTTTTATACCGTATGATCGAATAAAAACGGCGTCCAGTTGGCTTGGAAATGACGATCGATGACATTTCCTATATAAATTTACATATAAAATGACAGCGATCTTCATTTCATAGCCATCGCTGACGCCGTTTTTATTCGATCATACGGTATATGTATATGAAGGATTTCTTGTACTAATCGTGATTAAAGTATTTGAAATAAATATAAACTCAAAAAACCGCTTATAATATACAAAATTAATTTTCTACGTCTGGACATATGTAAAAAGTGTAGAAATTTAGTTGGTATAGAAAATTAATTTTCTACGTATAGAAAATACGGCAGAGTAAATAATTTTTTCTACCTACCCTGTCCCATATTTTATAAAAAGGATTGGAAGAAAATTAATTAAGAAAACTGGTATTGAACTTTTTTTAGAATACTGGGTCACCTTGTATTACCTTGTACAATGTTAGGGTAATTATACAAGAAGTATACATATATGATTTAGGAATAAAGGTGGATTTTCATGCATACGTCCTCCGTTGATACGATCATCCGACGACGCGACGGACTGATTGAGTATTTTCGCGCCAGTTTTCATCTGAAAATTTTTAATTCATGCCCGTCAACAAAGAATGTTAAAATAAATTTAACTTTTCGTACGATAACGGATGTTTTGACAATTTTTTGACAAATTTAACCTAACAATACTTTTTTGTTGACAAATTTGGGGTATTTATTTCGTATCGAGAAGTGGTAAATTCTCTTTTCAGTTCTGATTTTACAGTATAATTTTGCATTTTAAGGAGTTGCAAAAAATTACCGAAAAGTAAAACTGACGGAAACGGTTATAGAAATGAAAACAAAAAATGACATATTTTGAATTGCCATTGTCAAATATTGTTGACCAATCACAAGCGATTCATATTATCCGATAAATGGAGGCATGAAAATTAAATAAATTTAGAAACTACGGAATTTCCTAACCAATCGAAATCTTTAAATTCAACTAATAAAATTAATATTGTATCATCGTGTCGTCGAATATCGTACGCTTTAATTCTTAGCTAACAATAAATTTACCTGGAATCAATATGATTATCCTCAATGTGATGTTTTAAGCCCTGTTTTGATATATATGGTTTGTCACAGTGCGCACAAGTAAACATCTCTCGATCTACCGGTGCCAAGTGAATTTTCTGGTGTTTTTCAAAACGTGTACTACGTATTGTTTGGTAGCCACAAATGGAACATCTTAGAATGGTTTTCTGCGCATCCTCTGACCTAATAAAATCAGTTTTAAATTGTATTGTAATTGCGTAGAAGAATTCTAAATTGCAGTAATAACAAGTAAGACAAAGATAACAATAATGCGGTTGTTAAACCCCATACTCACTATGCGCTCATTCATATATTTGATGCGTCCATAGTGAGCATGATGTGGTTCATCGATGCGATTCGTCAGTTCGTTTGGAAATTCATCGATCGTGTTCGTGATATTTCTTTTGATGGTTCGTCCAAAAACCGAAATTCCGTCAAACAGCCGCACAACCGATCGCATCGAGGCATTAACAAACCACATCATCGCATAGTGAGTATGAACAAGTATGGAGCTTTACGGGCGACAGTTGGTTAAACATAAGGTAGGTGGGAATAAACTTTTAAAATTTACCAGGTACACCAACAGAATTTGGAATGTTATGTGAGCTATTATTCTAGAACTATATATATTCTAAAGGACTGTTCGATTGCATCAAATCGTCGCCGTGGATGCTTACGTCAAACACAAGTGCGTACAGCCATCTCCACAAAAAGTATAATTTTTACTCCTAATAAAATATACTATTTTTTTCAAACGTCATTAAAGTATTAATTTTTGCGACGTCATTGACAATATAAAACACTCATTTTTACGAAAAGTAAAGCATTTTTACGCCTAAGCAAAAGTTCAAAAATATATTATTAACCTGACATAAAATGTCAAACATGACAATTAATGTCATTTATTAGAGATAGATTGGGCACTGATATAAAACAAATAGGTCCGTCATTTAGAGACACCTGGTGATCCAGAAGAAACTAATGAAGAGTTTTGGCATAACATAATTTTAGCGTTCCGTTCAGGGACCGGCAATGCTGGTACGGGTACGGTGAACCCGAGGTGCCCTAGCTAGGCTCTCTCCCACTCCCAGGGGGATCCTTTCCAAGCTTCCTTAATTTCCCATCTTTATCCAACCCTTTACTCTGAGCAAAGGGTATCCCTGACCTACCCTTTTCCTCAAAGGTCGTTTCATGCTGTGGCTGCGCTGGGAGTACTAAGTACCGCCTTCCACGGAAAAAGTTGATGTGAGCTTGCTCTGCCGAGGCGTAAGCTGCAGTATGGAACAGTGAGCAGCCGCTTCGGACCCTGACCAGGAAGTACGCACTGAATGTGAGGATCGGACCTCACATCGCTCCGGGCGAGTCCCCGTCCGTCTGGATTCCGGGACGGGGAAAACGAAGACTGGGCCTCAGGGAACTGGGGTAGGAACTTACTCCGAGGGTATACCCGTTCCCAGTAATTTCGGCCCGCCCCTTTGCGTACGATGCGCTGTTGACTTCAAAGCATGGATAATATTGATAATAGAAACATGGTAAAGAGTCAATCGCCGAGTGTAAAATCGGGCGTTAGTGGTTTGTCAGAAGGGCATGGTAACCTACCATCGACACAGTTGGAGACTGAACTTGAAATCGCGACCAACGTGGACCCCTTTGTAAGAAGAGACTCAATAAGTAGAACTCCACCTAGATCTCGAACAAACTCTCTGCCGGATTATCGAAGCATAGTGGTGCCTGGCAATGTACAGAGCGAACAAGAACAGCCTAGTAAACGTAAACGTATGGATCAAGCTTCTGAATTTACTAGAATAACGGGAACTAAAGCATTCGATGGGAGGGAAACGATTGAGAGAATATATAAGCAGATTAAGGCACTAGACAAAGTGATCCGAGACTCATACAACCCAAAAAGGGAAGTAAAAGAGGCAGTAACTAAGCTTGCTTTTCAAGCTGAAATACTCCATTCAAAGAAATTTGAGGAATGGCTGTCGTCTGGTCATACTGGCAACATGGAGGAGAGGCTAAAGAAATCTCAGGAGGAAAATAAAGCGCTCCGGGAGCAAATAAAGCTCACGCAAGAAACCAGAGAACAGGGTAGTATAAACGATACGACCCAATGTGTAGCATGCAGAGAAGCCTGTAAAAAAGTCGAGACGAGAAGGTTACTTCGTCGAAACGAGACCTATGAAGCCTTCCAGGAGGTACATGAAGAAATCTGGACTGATGATATTTTCCCCAAGGTACCAACTCAACAGGAGAATATATGGGAAGCACCAGCTGAATTTGATTTGATCCTACCTTGTTATAAAGATATCGTGGGCGTTGACAATCATATCAGAGCCGCAGTAAATAAATTCGGCGGGGTAGAGGTTCTCAAAAAACAGTGTAGAAGTACTGGGGATATTGCCACCATGAGACATGCGCTGGAGTTTCCCGATGGCAAGGGAAATTACACGTCCATAAAGAGGACAATATACTATCCTATAATAAGTGAGAATGGATCAGATCAAGCCTCTTCAGATGAAGGGATATTCAATTCACTGAAACAAGTCAAGGAGAGTGCATTGAAATCCGGGAGAGTAAAGATGGCAATTCCTCTTCTGGAGGGGGTAACTGGTACCATACTTCACAGGATGGCCGGCTTTATTTTCGCAGACTCTGGACTGGAAATTGTAAGTTATGCCTCTACTTTTAAAAGAGATACCAGGACGCGGAAACAGGACCTGACCCAGATAAATGTAAACCCCACTACGCCTAGAAGACCAAAGGACGATTTGTTACTTAAAATGGAAGGCTGTAGCTATGCGGACCTGCTCAAGACAGTCAAGCAGACGATAAATCCACGAGAAATTGGAGTGGAAATTAAAGACATTCAGCGAACTAAGAAGGGAGATCTCATGATTAAGGTTAGCAATGGGTCTGATAAGACTGATATCCTCAAGACCGAGATAAAGGGTAGACTACCCGGAATAACAGCTTCAACGCTTAGCTCTAAGAAAATACTCCATATCAAAGGTATGGATGAGCTGACAACGGCGGAGGAGATCAGGGAGGATATAGTGAAGGCAACAGGCTGCACTCTGGATAAAGTAGAAGTGAGAGCTCTACGTCCAACGTTCAGGAACAAACAGAACGCCACCATCATTGCTAACGACCTAGAAGCAAATAGGCTGATTGAGATGAAAGTCCTGAAAATCGGATGGGTAGACTGCCGTATCGTCGAACGCCAGAGAGATGAAAGGTGCTACAAGTGCTGGGAGCCGGGACACGTCAGGACGGAATGTAAAGGCCCCGATCGAGAACACCTATGCATGAGATGTGGAGAAGAAGGCCACAAAGCGGGATCCTGCAGTAACCCATCTTTCTGTCTGCAGTGTAAGCAACAGGGCCATCAAACTGGTAGCCGGGCTTGTAAGGGCACTATACAAAGTCAACAATAATGAAATTACTGCAGATCAACACCAACAGAAGCCCTAGAGCACATGATATTAAGAACAATCTAAATTTTGACACCAGCCATACCGTCTTTAATCAGAAATGTCCAATATACTGCAGATTGGTGGAGTTGGAGAAGTCGATAGTTTTGTATGAAGAAGAATAGACTAAATGATTATGAATAGCATAAACAATAATTTAAATATCGGACATGTTAATGCCCGTTCCATTATACATAAGATGAATAGTGTTAAGTATTGTATTATATTAAATAAGTTTGATGTATTTGCCGTTACGGAAACGTGGCTTTCCAGTGCTATTGACAATGAAGTTCTTGAGATTGACGGGTATACTATAGTAAGATGCGACCGCCAGCAGGGTAGGGGCGGGGGAGTTCTCATTTACATCAGCAACGCTATAAGGTATTCTATGTTGGATAACATTGATATAACTTTTCTGAACAGTTGTGGATAGAATTTAAAATTAATAACATAAAAAATATTTTAGGAGTTCTTTACAGGCCTCCAAACTATACTAACTTTAATGCCTTTATTGATGAATTTGAACTAAATATCTCAAGAAATTTATTATTATGTGATAATCTTATGTGCTTGGGCGACTTTAACATAGATATGCTGAGATTGGATTGTTTATATACACAACGCTTTCTTGCTGTATTACAAGTATATAATATCACTCAAATTCTCGATGAGCCAACACGGCGTTACAATAACTGCGCCTCTCTTTTGGATCTTATTCTTTGCTCTGATGATCGGCTGCTCTTGGACAGTAGTGTCGATCCCTCCTGTCAAATAGCTGACCACTTTCTTATTAAATGTCGTATGCGGTTGCGAATACTAAAACCACCGCCTCTCATAGTCACTTATCGGGATTTTAGACTTTTTGATCGTGGCCGTTTCTACTCAGATTTAGTGAATTTGCCTTTAAATAATATTTTCTATCTTCAAAATATTAATGACAAAATAAAATTACTCAATGACTATCTATTGAATTTATATGATCAACATGCCCCTATTAGAAATTCTAGAATCACCAAAAAACGCACACCATGGCTGACTCAAAATATAAAATGCCTTATGCGTCTTCGAGATAAGGCATTAACCAAATATAAAAAACAAAAAACGTCCAATAACTGGGAATGCTACAGACAACTCCGTAACCAGGTGTCTATAGCCATAGAAAATGTAAAGAAAGTTTATCTTGAAAATAACTTTCAGCTGGGAGATTCTAAAAATAATTGGAAATTGTTAAAGAACTTGACATTCATACTAAATCTGCTAGGATTACTATCCCTCCCCAACTCGGTAACGCTGAAGAAATAAATATGTTCTTCATAAACTCTTCAAACTCTTCAGCCCCGGATCCTGACATGTTGGCATTCTACCAACATAATATAAAACAAGGTAGCGGAGATTTTCATTTCCCCTTAGCCACAACTGATGAGGTTTGTTCTGCTCTCTTTTCTATTAAATCAGAGGCTATAGGAATGGATGGAATTGGTCTCTCTATGATATTAAATTGTTGTCCTTACATTATTCCGTTTATTGTTCACTTGGTAAACTACTGCATTGAAACGGCTTCTTTCCCGAGCATCTGGAAAAGTTCCTTTTTATTACCAATTCCTAAGGTTGCATCGCCCACCCAACTATCGGAGCTTAGGCCTATAAGCATATTGCCCACTATGTCTAAAATAGTTGAAAGAATTCTAGAGGGACAGATCAGAAATTATGTTGATAAATATAATTTATTACCTTCTTTTCAGTCCGGTTTTCGCAGAGATTATAGCTGCGCCACAGCTCTGTTAAAGGTGACGGATGACATACTGCAAGCAGCGGATCGTGGTGAACTCACAACACTTGTCTTGCTTGACTATTCTAAGGCCTTCGACAGATTAAACCACCAATTACTTCTGGCTATATTGCAACACCTGGGATTTAAAAACGATGCTTGTAAACTTATCAAAAGTTATCTCACTGGAAGAAGTCAAGCAGTAAAAATCCAAGGACAACAATCTACCTCTAAATGCGTTACAAGTGGTGTGCCTCAAGGTTCCATACTTGGGCCATTGCTATTTACCCTATACACGTCTCAGCTCACCTGCAATTTAAAATATGCTTCTATTCATCTATATGCTGATGACACACAATTGTACCTGTCCTTCCCTCCTTCCGAAATTTTAGTAGCAAATGAGAAATTATCCTCTGATTTGGCTCTCCTCTGTAATATTTCTAAGGCGCACTCCCTGGAACTAAATCCAAAAAAATGCCAACTCCTACTTTTTGGACGGTCCCAATGCAGAGATAGACATGAAAATTTTGTCAAAATAAGCCTGGAGAATGAAGTGTTGAAATGTACTCATGTGGCAAAAAACCTAGGGTTATTCATGGATGTTCGCTTAAGGTTTACAGAGCATATTGACAATTGTATTAAGAAGGCGTTCATTAATTTAAAATTAATATATCGGAGTAAACACCTGCTGAACAGTAACATGAAGAAAATGCTTTGTGACAGCCTTGTTCTGTCACATTTCACGTTTTGTGACGTGCTCTACAGTTCATGCTTACTGTCACGTGACCAAAAGCGAATACAGTATATTCAAAATTATTGTGTGCGAATGATATCTGGGTTGAGAAAATACGATACAGGCATTAGCGCAAAACTGAAAGAAATTAAGTGGCTAGATATGAGTGAGAGAAGACGATTACATAGTCTAGTCCTTTATAATAAAATCATCTTTAAAAAACAACCTGAATACTTGTACCAAAAAATAAAATTTAGATTTGAGGCGCACAATCTAGATCTCCGGCATAAATTCTTGTTAACACCGCCTAAGCATAAAACGACCCTTTTTGAAAGGTCATTTAGCTATAACATAGCAGCTCTCTACAATGATGTCCCTATCAATTTAAAAAGTGCCCCGCCTGAAAAGTTCAGATTGGAAGCTAAAAGACTGATAATAAGCCACGTTTCTTGATAAGTACATTATATTACATATCTATATTTTTTATTATTTTTTTTTGGTTGGTGCTTGTTGGATGTAAGCGGTTTAATTGTAAACTTTAAGATAGACTGTTTTCTTTTTTTTTTGTAATTGAATTTATTGTAGCTCTTTTTTTTGGAAAAAGTAGCAGGGTTTCTTTCTCTATGAATTTATAGGATTGAATATGCATTGTATATTATATGTTTTTTTTTGTAAATGTATAGGTTAAGATAGGAAGCAATGCTTCAACTTCGCCTTTTGTAATACTTATGGATTACAATAAAGACTATTTATTATTATTATTATTATTATTATATATATATATATATATATATATATATATATATATATATATATATATATATATATATTCCATTATTTATATATAAGATTTATAAGATCTATATCTATTAAAATGAGTGACGAAAATATCTTGTATGTCGATTTTGAAGACCCCGAAAATCCCCATAATCTGTAGAGGCCCAGTGTCGAATGAGAAATACCAAGAAATTTCTAATAATAGTAAGTAAGTATTTCTTAATCTATTTTGGAATTTATGTTTTTAATATAAAAATGTTTTCCTAGATTTATTAACAATTCAAGAGTGTTACATGAGGGCCGTGGAGATGCAAAACAGAAAATTAGCCATAGAAATGCATTTGCAAGAGAATAAAATGGGTTCTAACATTTGCAACATAGAGGAGGGTTTTTTATCTAGTCAAAGTCCCGATGACATAAACGATGAAGATGAAAGTATAAATAAAGAATCTGGCTCAAAGAATGGTAAATATAAAAATATACGCACTGTTTACTTTTAGTATTGCAAAATTGCCATTAATAATTTAAAAAAAAATAGGTTTTATCTGGTCTACAAAGATACCTACAGAGAGGGATAGAACTGCCACTGAGAAGAGGCTACTCTTTTTAAAAGATGAAAAATATAAATTAAATTAAGAGACAAAAAAACAAGAAAACTAGATATTTTTCAGTCAGTATATGAATGTTTGGTTAAGGAAGGGTTTAATGTAGCAGAGAACACGACAACGGGTATAGACAGGGTTCAGCAAAAGTGGCGGAACCTTGAAAAAGCATTTATAAAATTTGAGTCAAATAAGAAAAAAACTGGCTCAGGGAAAATAAACCAGCCAGTTTTTTACAGTCTCTTATTTGACATACTGGGAGATAAACATAAGGTGTATCACAACCTAATTTAAAGGATACACTTATAACAAAAAACTCAATTCCATCTGAAGAGATTCCATCTACATCTCAGATGTAGAATGAGTCAGTTACTGTTGCAGTTTGGTTTGAAATGAAAATAGTGAGCAGGATAGAGCCTCTCTCACTACACCGAGAAAATCAGCGCGTCCAAAATCGGTGTTGGAAGATTTCAACAAGACATTGAAGCGCCTAGAAGAAAATCAGGAGAAAAGGTTTAAAAGATTAGAAGATCTTATTGAACAAAACAAAGAAAAAAGGGCAAATGATTTGTTTGAACAATACGTGGATTAAAGCGACATACGCATCTCTTCCTAATTTCTTCAAAAAAGAAATATTTCATATCATTAAAATTATATTAACTATGAGAAATGATTATCTTTACGGGACAATAAGTTTTTTTTCCGAAAGAAAGAAGATTATTATTAAAAATTTTCGCTCAAACAACAAAATTGTAATTACCCTGGCATGTCCTTGAGCCATTCATATCTTTAAAAACGGACGTAATATTAAAGTTGTGTAAAAGTATCTCACCAGCAGTATAATACCGATTTATCTAAGTATTTTCCATGTACCAAGGACCTTGAAGACACAAAAAAAATATTTTTTTCGAAAATATAACAAATATTTATGTCATCCTCAACTTTTCGTGTAATTCCCCTGCCAAATCAAATTTACTGAATTTAGATGCAAAATTTATATTTTCTTCAAGTATGTGATATCTTTGGCAACAATGCAATATCAAATTGTTGCTATGAAAAAGAAAATGTAACGGTCGAATACCATCAGTAGCCGCGTGGCTTTCAAGTAGTAAAGCAGTTTGGGTGCCATTTACTTTGTAATTCCACTGTGTCATCATATTTTTTTGAAAATTAAGTAAAATTTTAAAACTACCTAAATGTTATTTCGTAGAACATTGTAGGATATATTAGAGTAGTATCTATATTTTTTATTATAATTTTTAAATAGATATAAGGGCTTTCTTGCAGATCCGTAATTCCCCTGGCGTAAGCCTGGAATTACGCCTTTAACGGGGGAATTACTTCACCCATTATGAGAATATCTACTGTGAATATTTTGTAAATATACCAAATATATAATACCAGTCTTATTGCAGATTTATGTCACAATGGCTAGACAACCAAAAAAGAGCAGAGAAGAAAGATTAGGAAAGAAAAGAATAGCAGAAAGGGCTAGGTGAAAGAAAAGTGAAGGCAGCAAAAGATATGACCCCGAGGGAAAATCGAGAGGCTAGAAAACGCTGGAGAAAAAATATCAAAACTTTCCGAGCAAAGCAATCTAGTCTCAAAAAAGAAACTCTACGGTTTATGAGAGAAAACTCACCAACGACTTCAGATGCTGATCAAAATTCAAACACTTCAGACAATCAGATTGTGACTGTGGATCAAAGAAAAATAGTTCCGAAAAAAAATTCAGAAGCCATAAGAAAAAAGAGAAATAAAGAAATAAAAAAAGACGAAGAAATAAAACGCCTTAAAATGAAAATAGAAAAATACCGAAAAAGTGCACAGCGCGCAAGATAAAAACGTCAATTGAACAATCCGATAACTCCCAATACGAAAATGTTGTCAAACATTAAGCAACTTTTAGCTAATCCGACTGAATAGGCTAAAAAGCAAATCACAAGAAATTTATTGTTTAGTGAAGCAATGAGGCAACAATTAAAAAAAACTATTCTTCACTTAACACTTCAAATGAAAAAATTTCGTTTACGAAAGCTGTGACGGGCCCAATAGTTCGTAAGTACAAGGTTTGGAAAGACATGGACATTTCCTCAAGAAGACTGAGAACTGCTGCGAGTTCATCAAATTCGTTTATACATTCTAGAAAAAATATAGATATAATAGTAAGTTTAATAGAATTAAGAAGACTGTGATCCGAGTTCTTGCCAGGAGGCATTCTGGAGAGAGCTCGCTAAACTCAAAAGTGATTCACCGAAACGCTGGAGTCGAGGTTAATCGCTGTTGGTGCCTTAATCCAATTATCGTTCGTTTGTTCCGAGAAAACATTAGCCCAGATCGTCAAACTGATCCAGGACCCATTTGTGGCAGAGAAGGTCAGCGCCGGAGAAATCCGAGGACTCAGCTCCTTGTTAGGGATGAACCCCATTAGTATTCTTAACTAGGACTCAAAACGACCGATTAGTATAATATACAGGGTGTTATCCCATCTTAGGGCACATAATATACGATTTCAAAATTGCTTATCAATATCTAATGTTTTATTATTATCGAAAATATTGTAATTTATCTAACCTTACATAAAAAAATACGGGGTGGCCCGTCGAAAACATACCGTAAGGCATTATAGGGTGGGCAAAAATTTTTCGGCAATATCCACAAATACGTCAACTTTGCATACTTTTTGTCTCAAAATGTGTCCCTCTCAAACAAAGTTTCGATATTTTCGAAAAATTCTTGCCCACTCTGTAATGAGTTGTGGTACGGTTTCGTTGGGCTATCCAGTATACAGAGTGTAACAAAAATATACAACATCAAATGTTAAAGATTATAGATGCGATATATTTTAATGCGAATTAAATTGGAAAATGGACCTTAATTGGATATCCTATCTATAATAACAACCACCTACCAACTTTGCTATTCTAGTCATATTCACTTCCAGATAAAATTTCATCGTCATCAGAATTATTGCGGGAAGTTCTGGTCATAGCTGAGGACGGAATTTTAACGGAGCATATTAATAATTTTAAAACATCAGGAGAAAAGGAATCTTTACTTTTTGCTGTAGCTTTCTGTCTATAACTATTTACTAGAGGGTCCGAAGATATTAGCAACATTCTCATTAGGTCATTATTAGAGGCAGCCCGAGAAGTTTTTTGAGTATTAAATTTTCTAAATCTTCGGCAATTAAATTCTTCGGCAATTAAATTCTCTAAATCTTCGGCTTATTGCGTGCTTCTTGGGCTTCCTCTGATAACTGTCCAATTGGCACAATACAGTTTTTAATTATTTCTACGCTATGAACTAAAATTTTATGGACTGTTACTGGCATATAGTACCAAGAATACAAATCTAAATATAATTTTCTGGTTTCTTCTGCATATTCTTTAAAGGTTTCAAGATTAATTTGATATCCAGATGCCAATGCCTGAAGAAGTACACCAAATCTGGTTATTAAATTCTGATCCAAACCTGTTATATCTGCACTTTTTTGAGGATTTTTAAAAAAAATCCTAGCAGTATTGCTATCGTTTGGATTTCCAAAACCTGGCTTTGGCATATCTACAATTACACCTAATTCTGCTTTCATTTTTCTTTGAATCTCCTGTCTACGTTGTTTTACTTCATTTTTTGAAGCTTCATCTTTTACTTGCCATGACTTTACAGTTAATTTATAACTAATGTGCAAAAGACATTCAAATGTTCGTATCCAACAGTGTAATGTAGATAAACCAAAGTCATAGTTTTGGAAATCTTTCTTTGCTTGATATTCCAGGTTCATAGTTTTAGGAGTTGCGCCGCAGATATAACAAGTTTGGGAAGATTTGCTATTAGTTAGTATATTACATATCTTCCCATCAACCATTGTGAGAAGTAGATGATTTATTTTAATAGTAGTTGGGCCCAAATTTGCTGTAGTTGGTAGTAAATTAGCTATTTCATTTTTAATAACATCAGTTTCTCGTTTAACCATTATATCATTTTCTTTTTCAAATAAAAAATTAATGGGTCTACAAAATCTAGTTGACAAAGTTTTTGGGTTCTGCCAGACATATATGTCAGGATTATTATTAGGGTGCATTTTAATGGGAGCTAAAGAAAAAAAAAAGATATTCATCATTGGCATCTGGATTTTCAAATTTTTTCTTATATCTGCTATGACCAGAACTTCCATCGCATCCC